CGTCAAATAGACTAACTTTAAATAAGTAGTAGTATTTTTTAAGTCTTTCATATTTCAGTTAAAAGTAATGAGTTCCGTCTCACTGTTAACTTGATAGATATAATATGAGTAGTGCTATTTTTTTTACAAATTGTTTCAATTCTTCCGCCTATCCTGGATATAACACAGTCCGCTCAACTAATTACACTTGACCCTATAGTTTGTAGGAATCCCATGAAAGCCGGAGGGGAGGTGAAGCCTGATGGTTGCCGTGAATTTTGTAATTAAACGCCTCGTCTAATTACGACCTTCGACCGACGGTTTACACTCCGCTACACTCCGAGCCCTTTGTCTTGGATGTTACGCAACATTGCACTGTTTCGGTGTCTATTCGAGATTTCGGCTTTTTACTCGTTCAATGGCCAAATGGACCGCGCGGCGCAGTTGGAATTGCTGACCCGTGAAAGAGATTTTGGAAACTTTTTTCTTCTTTTCCTTCTTGGCGGCTTCATTATTTCTTTTTAATGACTTTTTTTTATTTGTAACGAAGACACAAAACCTTCGTCATTGTAAGTCGCCCTTACAAAATAAAGTACTTATTTTCCGCACTCGTCCAGCAGCATAGCATTCCTTTTGTCGAGGTATCCTTAGCTAAGCGTAAGACAATCTAGATAATCTATCAATGATCAGTAAGCCTAGCTATTTGATAACCTTCATTAGTCTAAGGGCTACACGGTGGCTTTGTGATAATCATACTAATAGTTATTTCCGGGATCACAAGAGTCGCATTGAACCTAGGATATAAAATAATGGCGTATAAATATATACCTTTATATATACCTTTGAGGATAATCTAACATCAACTTCAATGGAAAATAGATATTAATTTAAGTTTAGCAGCACTCGTACGTACTTGATTTATCCTTATTCTTTTTATTAACAGACTAAATAATATTTTATGATTTTTGTTCTGGATCTTTACCAATTTATAAGCTAAATTGTTTATATATATTATAGCTTTTTAAACGTTATATAGCATCAGCCGTCGAATATACATTTTGCACGGTGCAATTATGTTGTTAAACTTTATTGCTTTGGTCAACACCTTGCTTGCGCAATCTAATGATAATAGCGCGTTCACGAACTCATATTGTACCAATCTCCACAAAATATTAGTTGTAGGGTAAATTAAAATTCGGCCTTTTAGATACGAACGTAGATGCATAACTACGGACCACGGGAAGGTATAAAGCCGGGAATGACGGCGTTTATGTAAATTGCTTCCGCCTGGATTTTCCCAAGATTTATGTCTCGGCGTCAGGAACAATTAAATTTAGACTACGATTCCTCGCTCCGAATACATTAACCGAGTTAAATCACGATAAAGTCAGTAACTGACGTTCCGAACAGAATTCCGAAAGTTACCAGTCTTTGGTAAAGTTTCAATAGGATTTGCGAGTTTTGCGTCTATATATTTCAATGAGCATTTACCAACAACCTTATGTATGCACATACTTTAAAATTTGTAAAGTATTTCAGTTTCCCAAGAACTAGCTTTGACCGCATGCAACGATATATTATATGAAAGGATGTTTGTAAGTTTGTAAGGAGTAGTGTGTGTAAATATAAAAATTCCTTCTTATAGAAAAATCCTTTTAAATTTGCTGGGAAAGGAAGTTTAAGGGCAAAAAGGTTGTCCCAGAACTACCTGAATGTTTTTATTGGAACGTTATATTAACTTTTCATGTACGTCTAATGGATTAATGCAGTTGCAAGGGGAAAAGAATTTTCTTTTGCCAAATGGAGGTAACCAAGAAAATGTAAGTAGCTATTTTCTTTCTATCCCCAAGAAAAGAGTAATATTATTATTTGCTCCGGTATTTTAAAATATTTTTTAAGAACTATAGTGACTTTTATCGCTGTATAAAATTCAATGAAACATAAAATAGCAACAAGACTAATTGGCCGTGGGACTGCACATCAGCAGTGAAATAATGTAAAAAGTATTAAATTTATAAATACAAACAAATTTATAAAATTCTGAATTTATTGCATATATTATTATTCTAAATTTTTATACACTAAAAAAGTGATGCCGAGTTAATATTAACATCAATTCACAGTATAAATTTGGAACAGTCGCGATGCATAAACAATCTTACATTGTTTATACGACTTCTTCAAATCTCATCTTCTGAATCTTATTACATAAACATGCAGCATTATACAAACGCTAACATTTATGAGGTCAGAATTTAATAATATTTAAATGAAATGTAGGTCTGTCTGTACGTAAGTGGTGCTAACAAGAAATATCTGGAATTTGCATTTGGGCTTATTTACGATCAGCATCCCTTGATAAATGCCTTGCCTGGGGAAGGTAGACCGGCAGCCGTATATTATCATAAATTACAATAACAGATTAATTTCTGTCTTAACTTTCTACATACATTTACATCTGAAAAAGTAAGAAACGCTTTTAATGGTCTTTGCATAATTATTCTAAACCTAACTTCATTTTTTTTATAGAATAGTAGCCTTAATACATTATAAATCTTAAATACAACTTTGTTTATTTTAGTGTCTATTTTTTCTTTGTTATCTTCATAATTTTTATTCAAAAGATCGCACGGAAGAAGTCGTTTGAAGAAATATCTCTTATCTATTAGACAAGTCCGTCTGTCTGTGGTGCTGTTTCAGCGGCCAAACCGTAAGAGATAGATAAAGAGAATATTTAAGTTATAAGTTAAGAATAGTCTGATAAGACTACAAACCGGATTTGAGTAACGTAGCACTTCCGGTTTTGGTGAACATTTGGTTCACTGGTTTGCTAGTCAATTATAATATATTTCGGGATTCCTCGATACTTATTAGTATTATTCACACCTTGTGCTCAAATAACTACAAATACTAAAAGATTAGTTCGTTTCATGCGAATCTACCAAAAACTTCATGCTTTTTTCAATATTTATAGCACCGTGAGATTGATTCATCTTATCGGATAAACCCTCTCATAAAAAATAAAAATTAAACTTTACCTATTTTTTACCCAGTATCTAAACATTCGTTCAATTTCGTTCTGTATTTTGTGGGCGTTAACAAACAATAAATTTAGTTTTATGCTACAGTATACTACTGCTACTGTATAGAACAACCATATTAAGATAGCTTTATTCTATATTATTACCATGAATACAACCTTTTAGTACGTACTTTATATTATTGTTCCTGAGAAATGACAATGATATTTTGTTTTTCGATGAAACATAAAAATTATTACCATTTTATTACGCTAAGACGCTTCAACACGTCTCACCATAATAAAAGGGTATCATAAAACAAGAGTCACTCCTTTCTCGTAAATGCACGTGTATTTGATATTCACATTGTAATATTTGTTTTAGGGAGTGGTTGATCGTATTACATTGTCGCAACGAGTGAAGCCACTTAGGCTTCACTCATTATTAAATGTAGCGTAGTGCAATGTTACTTGAAATTTATTCCTTTTTTATATCTTCACTAAGGTATATAATTGCCTATACATTCTTGACTGGATTGGATTATTGCATTTCCCCTGAATCAGTAAAAACTAAATTATTCCTTCCCTAAGTAACTCTTATCCGCATATGTCTCGTGATACTGCATAAAAGGTGGGCCATTTATTAAATTAAAGTGTTGAAGCGTAAGGAATCTCGTAATGAATTGGCCCGGTGCCAACACTGGAAATTGTTATTTCATTGGCCTGTTTACTTGGCACCAAATATTTTAATTAATGCGCTTTCGTTTCATATTCATGATGGAAAATTATGCCCTAAACGATCTTCGAGCATTTAAAATTTTCTACATTCTAGAACGCATTTTGTTTGTAAATTACAAGCAACTTATTAACGGTGGATGCACCAAAACGACGTTTAAATAGCCTGCTTATCTTCCTGCTTGCTTATCAGTATTAACACAACACTATTTAAAGTGAAAATAATTAGAAGCGCCCTCCAGAGCAGCTTCCATAGAATTTTCCACAAATGGCAGCACAGGTAATTTGAATCGAATGGCCCTTTGTTCCAAAACTTGCTGATAAAGGAAATCTCATTTCGTACAGAAAAGGTAGCTATAAATGTGACCGATACGTAAGCAAGACAGGAATAAATTGGGCTTCACGATTTATAGCCAAATGCTCTTAACCCGTAGACTGCTAAAGAAAAATAAGATTTTTCATTTTGTTCGCCCAAATCCCGCTATAGATTACGTTGATGAATAGTTCATTTTATGTTCTCGCAGGAATTTATATTGCCGAGCTCTGTTAATTTAATTGAGAAAAATCTGTCTGGTATTCAATAAATGTAATTTTCTATGTATATTTTTTATCTAACGAGTATTGTATAATTTTTAAAACTGTAATGTTATTATCAACCAATTATTTATAATCTCTTGATTCGGCAATCATGAAGCTGTTCATTACTAGAACGAATCACTGAATTAGCCTACTGTCGTGTATATATGGGGCTGTATTAACGCAATAAAGCCTTTTGTAGCGAGCAGTATCGGTTAACTGCAGCTTATTGAGTTAACGACAGCACAAAGCGTTGTAAGTCCCAAGTAATGACGTGCTTCGTTACCTAGTACACACTATTATTTATATCGCCTTTTATAATTTTAATTACACTATAAGTTTGCGAGACGCGAGTAATCGTGCAACATGTTTAACAAGCTTTAATAAAATGTGATTGGGGCCATTGATGTTGCAACCCTTAAGTTTATAGTGTTTTCATATTACAACACTGCTTTGACATTTCTCTTTACAGAGTAAGTGTGCTTGTAAATTTTAATGATAAGAATAGTCTTAAAATATAATTTCTATTTGATCGACAGAAGAATATTATTAATGTTCATTAAAAATTTCAGTCTCTTTATAAACATACAAATTTCTAGCATGTTTATCTAGAACCTTTTGATGACTATTAATTTGGAAAAATAAACTACATTGTTGTTTTTATAAAGGCATCTGAAATGAAACTAAGTAATGTTATAAATTTGCTATATTTCGATTTTACTGTTAAATAGCACAATATGTGTTTAAAATAATGAATTAAATTTAATGCAAGGCGTTCTCAAGAACAAAAATATTAAAATTGAGGAAATATTGCAACTTCTTAAACTATTTTAGTTCCATTATGTCAAAGACAGTTTCCAACTGTTGTAATGATATTTTATATTAGTTACTTAAGTATATCGAATTCAAAAATAAACTAGATTTTGATATTTTGTCCTTTAAAAATATTCTATCAAAGTCGAAAAAATCTTAGTCGAAATTTTACTTTAGTCAATATGGATGTGTTATTATTACAGAATCTTTCCTTGAAATAATGGCGTTTAAAACTAAGTATACATTAATTCCTATTACACAAATTTAATATAAATATCACAGTCAAAGGTTTATATAACTAATCGTGTAGGTAATTCTAAACATATTTTTATCATATGGCAGTGAAATGCAGGGCTGTTAAAATCTACGTTACAATCGAGGGGAGACAACCTTCAGCGTTGTGGTATACACAACTTTTAAAATCGAGAGAATCTCTCTAAAAATGTGTTTATCATATGATTTAACTAGTCTTATACACCGTGACTAGAATATCAATAGGAATAAGTTATAAATATCAAAAATTCAGTACCTACGCACTTAAATGTTAAAAGCGCTACATCTGCGTTCTACGACGACTACTTGAGATTTATTATAATACGTTACCTACCTACTACGTTAAAAATTCGAACAACATTTTTAACTACATTGAAATTAACATGTCAAAAAGAAATATCTATAATTATATTACAAACATTACGATACTTAGTTATGGTTATTGCTCAACGATGTTCTATTTATACATATAAAAGTGAACTAAGCGCTAGGACTTCTCAATTTTTCTTGTTTTCCGGACTCTGCAAAAAGCAATTTCGGATTACATTCAAAAAATTTCATTCACGGATAACATGGTCAGCGTGATTTTAAAGCCACTTCAATTTACCTCATACGGGGGCGGCGGCAGTATATCACATAGATTTATTTGACAGCCTTGCTCGGACCGCGTTACATTCGAATGTCTGCTCGTCTGTATGGGAATTTTGAAACTGTTTTCTCTACCTAACCAATGCCACTGCGGATAGTCGTACTCTAAATCATTGGTTGGGCAAACTTTGCTTTTGTCCTGTCTACTCCTCGATCCTGATCTGTTCGTGTGACAGGACACGCAGTCATCCTCCACAGCATTGATTTCATTGTGTACTTCGTGCCTTGGTTCTCTGTAATCCTTGGTGGACCTACTGGAAGTGCTGTGACAACACGTGGAACATTCCCCATTCGAGTACTGTATGCTTCCGTTACACGAACGAACAATGCTATTGTTATGTGATCGCCGCTCCGGACAGTTCCTCAGATCTCCAACTTCGTTGTTGTCCTGAACGCAAATTGAAATGTATTGTTAGAGCTACGTTATAAGTTATGACCTATAAGCACATAGTAAGTTACGCAAATCGAACACGTAATCTTATCTTCGGTAAATAAGTCTTGAACGAGTTCTCAAGCATTCGAAAATGCTTATCGGGGAATTCAAAAGTAAACATTGTATTGAACTATTTCACGCATGAATTTACTTTGAGCTATTGCCTAACCAGCTATTGTGTTGTAAACGACTGGCATAATACCAATTTAAACAACAAAGAAGCTTGTGATGATTATTAATATTGATTACAAATTGTTATTGCTTAAGTTGTTTTATACCTGGAAGTTCAGTTCAGTGTAAATGGCACTGGATGCGTAGGGCTCAGGTGGACCTCTTCTTATTCTGTCTACGCTTGATGTATCTAAGGCTTGAATGGAATTTTGGGGAAGGCAATACTCTGGTTCTACACTAAGAATGCTCGTTGATTGTCCACCTAGAACAAGATAATACATTTACAATCTACAAAACCTACTAACATTATAAATGTGAAAGTTTGTATGTTTGTAACTAAATCACGCAAAACTAATGAACGGATTTGGATGAAATTTGATACGAATAGTTTATGCCCTGGATTGAAAAATAGGATACTTATTTTCCCGGAACAATGTTAGATTAGGGGTTTATAAAAAAAACAAAGTAAACGCGGACGAAGTCGCGGGCGGTCGCTAGTATATTAGAAAGTGAATTTGATCATAAAACAAAGAGAATATCTTCATACGTCAATCATTATTATTACATTAATTACTTTGTATATTTGGCAAGTATTACGATCATAATTTATAATAAGAAGGAAGACTTTCTGAGATCTGTACTTCCTCAAAACCTCTTTCTTCGCTTTTCGATAATTCGATTCGTTTATTAGAAAAATAATTTTAACAAACCATGTAATAAGCTCTGATGACAGCTGCTAGCATCCATGGTACCATCAGCAGCTGCGAACACAGGCCGGTCTCGTAACCATATAGTGTCTTTATTTAACAAACACTGCTGTGCTGTCACTATAGACTGGCCTGCAAATCGTTTGTCACGATAAAATCAACCACAAACTTAATAACTTAATTCGCAACGGAATAGATATCTGTATTTTGGCATTAGTAAAATGAACGATGTCAAAACATGATTCGACTAAGTGTTAACTAACACCTAAGTACTCACCAGTAGACTTCTTTCGTTGAGTGCTGTTACGCCGCCTAATGTAATAAACGCTGAATAACCCAATAATGATTACAGTGAACAGTGTCAGACCGAGAGCAAGGAGCCATGTTTCTTGAAATATGTGTGATATGTTGGAATCGTTCGGCGGTTCCGTTCTGAAATCACAATTTTACATCAATCAAATGTAACACGTCACATAGAAAGCGAAGTAATCGATTCTTCTTTTAACCAAGAAGTTGTAAAATGTATGGCGTCCATTAGACGCTGATGCAAGCATCAGTTCGATTCAGTAGATAAAAAAAAGGATAGCTACTGGAAAATCATCAGTCACCCTATTAGACGACGGTCATATAACCTTGACTGACAGCAAAACCTACCCCCTAATAGACGCCTATGAAACGTATTGCTTACTGAACATAATGTCGTTGCGACTGCGTCGGCAGCATATGTATTTGCACGGGCGTACTGAATGGCCCGTGCCCCCTCTTAGTGACAGCGGCTGCTCGGGCGCTATACCGACCACCAGCTCGAAGGGAACTGGCCGCAGCAGCTCTGGTTCGAGGTCCTAGAGACATTTGACCGACGACGCGACCACCGCCACTCGCACTCACGCGAATCTCGATCTAAAATAAACAATAATTTGATCTATTGTTTTAAACTTGAATGGTCACTAATATTAAAGTAGTTAGCGCCATATCTACCATGTAAAATAATTTTATTAAAAAACAGGATGTTTTCTCATTATTATTGAAGGCAGTTAGTTTATTTGTAGTTTTTTCAAGAAACCCTTTTTATTAGAAATTCATACCATGGAAAGCCCAAAAAATTACTAGTCCACCATCATGGTGCGTACGTGCGTATTAGATTTAGAATAATGTCACTTAGCTAACTATGCTTTGTCATCCAAGCCAAACATGTAGGTGTGCACAGTTTCATATCAATCGTTTGAGATTAACTGAGAAAATAACTTTAAAATTAAGATGCAAGATTTGAGTCAAACCTGCATTGCAATTTATACATAAGTTTTTAAAAACGGAAGAAAAAATTATTATATATATTATCGGTATATACAAGTGCATTTTATAGAAAAACATTATCCTAAATGCAGAATAACACTTTCTAAACAAGGAACAGCTACTTTCATTTGTCAGACAACAAAAGGCTATCAAAAGTCATGTCTATACAACGCTTGGCCAATTGCCATCGACTGTGGCATATACAACACTTTAACATTTAAATTATTTCAGTATCTAGCGCAGTGCTATCTCTGCCTTGATCAATATTTCATGTCTGTCACTTCCTACTCTTTATCCAATCAAAGTGCTTAGTAGTTAAACATTTAAAAAAAAACTCTGGTATTTTAAATGCCTAGTTATTTTTATCTTAAACGATTTTCCTTTGTTCTTTCTGTAAGAAGACTATTGTATACTAAAGAGATTGTCAATTGTTTTACGGTTACGGGAGCAGTCCGAAGATTTAATAAATTATTCATAAGTACTAAGGTAGTAATAGTATTTGCAAGAACTCAATGTAGAAATTGTATTTCATATTTACAATCAATGCAACACCCTTAACCAGTACCCTAAACTCCTATTAAAAAATTGAAAGTTCTAAATCACACGCTTCAGTCTTAAATTGATAATAGCATAATTATGAAAACAGAAACACTTACCAAATAGCCCGTGATTGCTCCATTCCACGTGTTCGCAGGTGGTGGTTCCCATCGTATCCACGCCGAAGTGGCGTTAATTACACCGGCTGTCACGCTCTGAGGCGGCGCTGATGGTACTAAAATAAACATCCGCCGTAAATAAACTTTAATTTTCTGACCTAATACTTAGCAATTAATTTTCCACTTTCAATAATGTCTTACCGTCCTCGTCAGTGTAGCCTGTCATTAAATTGGAAGGCTTGCCAAGAAGCATTTTATAGAAAGGCATCAAGAAAATGTCGTACTGAGTGTAAGCCATTAACCCAGATAGGATGAAGCTTGATGAGCCGGTATTGTCAACATTTGTTAATGAACCATTGGAACACAAAGCAGCGCCGGTCAAGGACGAGTTCAATGCAGCAATCTCTTCTTTGTCAACATATCTCCAATTCATGGTGGTACCATTATACCATATCTTAACGCCTTCTAAATATTCATTATAATCTGTCAAAACCTAAAAATAAATTAAGCTATATTGTTAATTTTCTCATTCATAAATGCTTTTTGAGGCATTAATATTAATCATATTAGGTATATTGATAAAAATATACATACATCCCAAACAACTTTCACCGAAGTTGACGACAAAGCTTCCGCCCTACGCATAACTAAAACATTCTGCTGCAGATACTTTCGCGCTTGAACAAGTTCATATTGCGTCATATGCTCCTGCCGCTCGTATAAAACAGTCAAGTCTTGATCCAACGACGGTTCTTTCAATTCATTCCCCTTCTTAAGAATAGTTAGATAAGCCTCTTGCATTATACTACCAGCCGCATTAACTGCTGTACAAATAACACGCCCACTATGTTCAGCTTTCGCTCCATCTAGATATAATAAACTCGAATTGCTTTTCATACATTCAGGGAAAAGCAGCGAATCTTGATTTCCCTCCAGTATCCAAAACGTAGTGGGTGTAGGTAGACCTTTTGCTTCACAGGGTATCGATACGACATCGCCCTCCCATGCGGTTAAGTTTGATGGTATCTGTGTGAAGTGCGGTAGAGCTGAAACAGATGGCTGTATTTATAACAAGTGTGAATATTAAGAACGTCATAAAACGTCCGAAACAGAAACGAACTTACAGTAAACGGTGAGAGAGGCGCTTGTAATACTTGAACCAGTTTGGCTATCGGCCCGACAAGAATAAATGCCAGCGTCGGCAGCAGACACGTGATCTAACCGCAATAGTCCCCGAATGATAGTTGCACGAGGAGGCAGCGAACTATCCTCTTTGACCCAAGTTATTTTTACGTTTGTATCGTAGCTCTAAAATAAAACAAACACGCATAAGATCGACGCTCGTTAAATTATTTATATACAGCTCTTTGATTCAAGACCGCATAATAAATACCTGGCAATTAAATTCAACGGTTTGGCCAACCAAAGCTGTAATGTTACTAGGTTTAACGACGAAATGTGGACGTCTTAAAATAATAAGACCGGCAGCTCTCGACTGTCTTTCGCCGGCAATATTTGATGCTACACAACGAAACAAACCACTATCGGTGGGTAACGTTTCGAGAATTTTCAAGTTTCCTATATCCGTGACTGTTACCCTGCAATAAAATATGAAACATCTATAAGTACTCAAAAAAAAAATTGTTCAAAACGCGGAGCTAAGTGAATATAAATATGATTTACTACGCTAAATGTATGTACATTGTTTCCTACCTGCCATTGACTTCCACGTCATACGGTTGTCCATCTTTAAGCCAATGGACAGAAGGTTCTGGCACCCCACGAGGTGGCGAGCATTCCAAAACAGCAGGCTCACCAGCTGCCACAACTACATCTGTAGGTTCAATTCTAAATTCATCGCGCAACACTAAAAATATGGAAAAAATAAGTTAATTAACTACAACTTAATTTTTTAACTCAGATACAAGTAATTTCGATTGTTAAACAATAATATGGCCTGTTTTGTTTACTTACTAGCAACATTCAATGAAGCATTGTTACTGACAGCCTCTCCCGCAATATTGCGTGCTATGCACCAGTATACCCCTTCATCGCTCTCCTTTTTACCTCGATTAACCCTGCGAAGAAAACATGGAAGGTTGCCCTAAAAATGTCTAAACTTTTAATAAAGTAAAACGTTTGACGGTCTCATTATTAATTGGCACACAGTTTCTGAGATAAGAAATGTTGTAGTGTTACCTATTTGAAAAATTAATGTTGGTCAGAAATCTACTTATCACATCCATTACACATCTTTAACCACAATATAGATTCCCACGTTTAAGGCACCTTCCTCGCCGGGTCAGTGAGAGCTAGTTTCGTTATCGTTTCTGTACTTACCGAAACTGTACAGCTTCTTTAACGAATTCATATAATTAAAAGAGAGGTCATTGATTAGTTTCTTCTTCTTTCAACTGTCACATCCGCAAACAAAACGTAATGATACCGCACCGAAATCGAGCCGGTCAAGAAGTGGTTCTCGATAAATGAATCAGTACAGATTTGTTACAGAAACAAAAACGAAACGGGCCTGCATCGACCCGGTGAGCAAGGCTACTTACAGGCCTACAGCTTGCAGTTCAGCTCACAGAAGTGTTATTTCTGCTTACCTAAGGAACAGTAATCCATCCTCCAGCAGTACTCTATGCCCATCCTCCGCTGGCGGTAACGGCGAGCCATCTTTGAACCACTGGACTGTTGGCTTCGGCCGCCCTTCCACCACGCACCGTAGCGTCGCAGGTTCGCTTCTCCCAGAAACCGTGTTCGACGGATGTTCTTTGATACGCGGCGCTCGATTTTGAGCTAAAGGACGAATTTAATAATTTATCAGGAGGACTTAATTTACCAAAATCACAATAAAACTAAAGAACTAAAGTATAAATGTACTCAGATCAATGTAGTAAAAAATAAGAAGCTTGAGTTGGCTCTTGATTTTTAAATTAATATTTTTTTTCATTGATATAACATGCTGCAAGATTTAGATTGAGGGTGACAAAGATACCCTATTATTAAGCCTCCGCTGTATGCCCGTCCGTACTTTTCCAGCGGGCGGTATCTTATGAACAGTAATAAGAAGACAGTTGAAATTTTCACAAAAACCGAAGTATATTGCTGTTAAGTAAAAAAATAAAGTAAAATTAATCATAGTTCTTATACCTGTAAGAACCAAGGCTTTGGCGTTTTTCGATATTTCTAGATAGATTTTTTAAATAGGCTATCTGATAGTATGAAAAATAAAGTACCGATTTGTAAACTACCGATATTCAACAAAGTTGACATCTGAATTTAATATGAATATTAGCAGCGATTTTACTATTCAGAAAGGACAAATTAGTGATATTTAAAAAAGAACATTATAGATTAGATATAATTAGAAATTATTTTTTTTGTTCTAAGGTCACGCGACCGAAAACACCTGGGATTCTTCTTCTTCTTCTTTGGCGAAGACTGAAATAACGTCACAAGTTAATAAACATATTTTAATGACAGTCGTAAGACGTCACATACCAGTGACAAGTAGAAAAATGTATGCGCGGCAACTTGAAAATTGAAATTTGATTAAGTTTTTTTTAATACACAGCAGAATGATTAATAATAATATCCACTTTTTATGGACTCCATAAACAGTAGTAAATAACGTGGATTATATTTTAAATGTAAAATCTCGTAAGATGGTACTGAACCCTCTAGTCGATATAAGTTCAACTTGGTCATGGCCGTTTATAGCAAGTATGCTATAAATGCTATATGTATTGCTAATGCTATATGCATTGCTTTGTAGTAACAAAGCAATGCATAAACATTCAAAATTAAAAGTTCAAGTATTAATATAGAGTACCTACTTCCAATCTCTTCCTAGAATGAGTGAAGTCATCACAAATTCAGGTTTATCCATTCAAGACGTCTAACATACTTTTTCTTGTCAGAATAATGTGTTTGTCTGCAGTATACAAATTACTTTTACCCCAGAAACGTCTATCATTAAGACTGACATATTTCACACTTGTTAAGAAAATATTGTTAGTGATCACACCGATTCTATACACTTGTCCATTCCGCTTTAAAAACTTGAACAATAGTTAGAATATTTTGAATTACAAAAAGTCCGGTCAAATATATTTTTTTATTGTTTACAAAATATCGAATAGTTTTATCGAAGAAGTTAGTGGTATTTGAAACTAAACTCTGGAATTGTAACCATTGACCACAAGTTAAAGCTTCTCATATAGACATTGTTACAAAACATTGACCATTGACGCCTACTCACAGATTAGACCGGACACATTTAATAAAGTCTTTGAATAATCAAAAAAGAAATGCATCTGTTTAAAGCCATGCGTTTGTCCGTCTCACCGCGTTTAGATCAATACAGAGATAAAACGACAAGCGGCATATTGTAATAATTCTAATTTATTAGAGTTCCATATCTAAAAGATGAAACGTCATCCTCCTTTTAGTTTAGAGTTGTTTTCTTGTTGTTTTATAAGATGTACTGGTAATACAACGCAAATGTATCTTAATCTTCTGTGTTAAGAAACTATTGCTTTTAATTCAAAAAGACTTTTGAAAATGTAACGTGTTAAAAACGTCACATGAGTTTTGTTTGTTTGAAGAGAGAGATAGAAGGCTATTTAGGTTGTCTCTCGTTCTCCTTTACCATAAATAGCTTTCGATAGTTCATGAGTTTTTTTTATTTTCTGTGGCTTAACATGACTTTATATAGACTAATTCCTTTGCTTGCCATTTGGAAGGAACAAAAGGAAGAAAATTTAAATTTTCAACGTTGTTCACTTAATCTTAGTTAATATTGGATAGACTTTATCAATTACTTTATGATGATGAATTATTGATGAAAGAGTTTATCAATTACTTTTGATAGGAGGAGACATAAGTTTGCCGAGGAGATGGCTGTCGAACTGTTTTTTCATACTTTAGAATATTTTATATTGGACCCTGAAATAACCCTTTGTCATTACATGGGAGCGAGGCTTCTAGACAGACATTTAACTCAACACATAACAAAGATGCAGCGGGCACAGTAGTCTGATAAGATAAATCATTCTATTATGTTAAATTCGGGAAAAGATTATAAATATAAGATGATAATTGGACCTAGCTCCTAAATACAACAAAAATCTTTGGAAAATAGTTAGAAATTTCAATATAAAGACAACCCAAAGTGAGTTTGGATTTTGCTTCAACCTCCCTTGTGATTAATAATAATAAATAGTTCAATGCCCTTCTGGCGACTTTTTTGAAGCAGGGTCTGGCGCCAAAGTACATTTTTATTTTATTTCGACCTATCCATATTGCTTTAAATAAATAAAAATATTCTTTTTGTCTTTCCCACTTAAAACCCCTTTTATATTTATTATATGACAAAATCCAGTTCAAAATAACTTATTATTCAGCTTTACTGCCACCATCAGATATTTATAAGCTAAATATTTAATGTTCTAGATAATAATGCCCTAGAAAATAAAAACTAAAATTCCCAACTCGTGTAGCATATTAAATAAACTTCTTTTCTTGCTTAAATATTCATACAAAACAAAGAAGAAAGATTAAAGTTTCCAACTCATTAAATATTGATAGTGCTTTGATATTATTACAGTTCAAAACATGCGCACGGCTTACTTCCAACACGCGCCTTGCTTTGATTTATAGGACACAAAATGTTATAATGGATGTTTTGAAATTGATTGTTCTTTATTGTACCATATTTAAACACTTCAACCTTTTCATCTGTAACAGAAATCTACGTACTAAATGTTATCCAAGATTCTGTCTACATGCTTTTTGTTAAGTGTCACTACAGATAAGAAACTAAGTATACTTTTATTTTTTCTCTCGCTACCCGAAAAGTTTTTCGTTCGCACCAAGTAGAACTTTTGTCATATCGTGGTAAGTATAGGTATAGTTTTATTATCTTAACAAACACTACGCAAAACATAAACTTTTCCTATTCCCACTGGAAAAAAATATAATTTATAACTCTATTTAATCAGTTACTGTAATTGAGTACTTATGTTAAAGGTCATAAATAAACTTGACCATCATTTAAAAAAAAGGGACAAAAATGAAATTACTTTTAAAGAGCCCTTTTACAAAATTGCGCCGCTGCCGTACTGATTGGTGCGTATAGGTAGATTTGCAATAGTATATTGCATTACACGGGTGCTGTTTCGAGTCTTTTAAAATTATCAAGATTAATGATCTAATTATAATATATATATACATATTTCAGTAGTTCAATGATGGTAGATTAGTTTTATGAAAGATTTCGATAGTAATTCTATTTAATTCAATATCAAAATACGAGGTAAACCTGCATTATTTTTTGGGAAAACTCACGCCTGTATTTTTTTTTTTTGATAATTAATGAGATGGAAAATCAAAATTCTAATACATTGTGTTACAACAAAAGCATATTTCTGATGTCGTAGAATACTACGAATCAAATCAAATTAAATATAATTTGATCTAATTTATTGAAAATTATTTAGAGATTCAGGCGTTTTAAGTTGTGCATATTATCGTTTTTTCCGTAAACTAGCTGCGGTAGAACGATCAGTACAAAAAAGTAAAATAGTATTTGCAAATATTCTTCATTTACATACAAAATAGGAAGAATAAATCTACTGTTTACTTCTATTGGAAATAGTCAAAATCTTTTCTCAGGGCGCTAAACGAGGCGCTCAAAAATTGGGATTGATTCTGGAATGGTTCTCTAAACTTTAAACTCAATTGGCAACAGCATAGGTATGTAAAAGAAAAATTTGCTGTTATGCTTTGCAACTGACAAATTTTAATATGCATATAAAAAAATATGAAGTCCTAAGCAGCGATAGTAAAAGTCTAATGTGATTTTAATAAAAAGGGAATAAATATTTTATCTTCCAATAGAGCTGAGATAACAAATTCTGTTTGACGTTAACTGTTTTTTTTTTTTTCTTTTTTGTTACTCCCCACTGCACTTGTGCATGTCACTGTCACTGATAAATGATAATATCTACCAATAATTAAGCTTCACAAAATGACAGTTCGTCAAAAAATAATGAGGACAAGTAAGCCCATAGCACACATGTGGTCAGTGACATGTAAATAAACCATTGTCTTAATACGAGTTTATTATGCTTTTGTAGAAGTTTTAACAACAATATTTTTCTTCTGCAGTTAGCAGTTTTCGATTATATTTTTGACGGTTGGGTTAGTAGGTTAGGTTAGTAGAAATACAATTTGAAATCTTTATGTTGTTGATACATTATATAAAAAAACACAGTAAAAAGTTTAGCACACGCATCTTGATACACGAATCTTTAATAAAAATTGGCATAACAACAACTTGAAATATATATTTTTTTATTGTTGAATCTTATATATTTTATGAATTATACGTTTGTTTTTGTTTCCCAACCTACTGATCAAACAAGAGAAAGTTTAAAAACTAAAAACTAATGGGGTATATCCATACTGTACTGTCCTTAAAAATCATTCTTATTTAAAAAAGTTATAAAGGTTTTAACTGTCGAATAAAAATTCTAGTGCAACCGAGCCCTTGTTCATACAATCGCAGTGATTTTTTTGTTTGGTCCCCACAGTAGTTGTCTTTTATTAATACATGCCCCCGTCTGATGATAACGCAGTACAATACCGCTATCTTGACATGTTTGTCTTTTTGTACTATAAAGTGAGCGCAGTTGGCGATACAAATAAATTAAATTCTTGCGTGCCAGCTTCAGGTAATAACTACGATGTTTTTTGTGAAAAGAAAAATATTGCATGTTTATTGAGAATTTAATGACATGAACTAACGTAAGAAATACGTATTTAAGTACATAATGTAATCACAATATTTTATTATAAAAAATTGTAGGTTGTTGTTAACATATCGAGATACTCAAATGTTGATAATAAAAAGAACTAATCCACGTAAATCTGTTATAATTTTTACTCAGGGTTATGTAGGTAACTATTTAGTTCACGATTATTTAGACACTTGTTTATTTTCAAGAAAGTGACTTCATGAGTTATCTCATATTGAAGTATTTTTTTGAATTTGACGTCTCTGTATATAATACAGGGAGAAAAGAACAGAAGAAGAAGAAGAACCTTGCCTATGTTGTTTTATAGTTATAGATACGTCATACACGCTTCTAATTTGGCCATACGAAAGTCAGGTAATTGCCCGACTTACATTCAGTCAGGCAAGCTCTCTCGCCGCGGCCACACTTCGCTGCAACATGTAAATATTTTAGGTTTTTCCAGACAAAAAGCCCTATATGTGTTTTTAGATGGTACATACATTACACGGAAACTATTTCGAGACAAGGAAACGTATCATTTTGTTCGTAAGTACAGTTTTAAAGAAAATAATGTAAAAATATTTTGACTTTTTGTAATCTGCTTTATGCCTGAAAGTTAAGGAGACTACTTTAGCGCGTTCTATTGGCTGCTGTTGTCAAGGGAAGTTGGAGCGGGGACTACTTGTGGCATTTAAAATGCAGTAATGTTGGCGTATAACCTGTCTATATATTATACGTCATTGGCACTTGCATAGTTTCATGTTGGTTCTTCTCAGTACAAGCTCTCCCATCGTAGTTTTGCGAACCGATGGCTTTTCGACATACACTAACAATAACACTAATGCTTTTCCCAAACTTGTGCGACGAAGCTTTGGCTTCTTATCGCGCTAATGTTGGCGTCACTATTTTCGGTGCTAAAGGCGTGGTTATAAGCTCTTTCAGCGGCACACATGTTTTTTTACCGTCCTTCAAAACCCCTTTGTTGTATGTCAACAACCTCGAGTCAAGTGTTCGTCTAGCGTCCATCGTCATGGAGCTCGATAGTTCGTTACGATAACTAATGATTTTACACGCCTGCGTTTTTCAAGATCTTGACGAAGCTTCGTGGCAATAGACGCAGGTGTAGGAGAGGATAATACACATACAATAACTCATACTTATTTTGGTAGCATTGTGTTCCTGCCAATGAGTATGGTTTCCAGGATTTCACGGAAAATGGGATTGGTTTCAAACTGAGGTGAGATTTTTGGTGATACATTCTTCTGCCAATTCAGCTATCTTCGCAACTCCACTCACATTTAACATCGTTGAGTAGAGGGGTGGATATTTACTATGCCTAATATAATAAAAAACAGATTATGAAAACTGATTCTTTTCTAAAAAAGGTTAAAGTAATCATCAAGAAAAGGTTAAATATATAAAAATAAATAGGAGTTTTAAGAGTAGCCGAAGAGTGAGTGATTTATTTGAGAAATATTTTATCATTGTCAGAGTCTGGTTGTCTGAGGTCGGTTTGTCTGAAATAGAGTTATCAGAGTCAAGTTTCGAGGGTCAAGTTGTGCATGTGTCCATTATAAATCTACTCACCACGGTAGGATTTAAAATTTATCGGAATTATAATTTAGGCTACAAATTGATAAATTAAAATGACCCTAACTACCGTAAACTACCACCGGTTCCAAAATTGGGAGACCTTCCTGAGAAGAACCGGCGAAACAAACTCAAGAGAGGCTTTCTATCTCCTTCTTATGTTAAATTATGCAAACAAAAAGAACTAATAGTATCTGATGGTCTTGCAGTATGTGCTCGGGGTTGGGATTTTATCTCCTGTATAATAGGTTCCCAAGCTGGTGGTATATACCAACCATCTTCCCTATTGAAATTTGGATATTTTTTTTAATCTCAATAGCCTCGCGCATCATTCGAGGAACGAAACGCCGCTCAGCTGCAAGGATCTGTGGTCTATCAAATCTTATCTTAGATTTGATAGACCACAAAATAAACGCAAAATTACAAACAAGAATTTTAAATAAAATACTTTATTAAGTAAATTAAATAATAAATTGATACATAGACAATAAAACTTAAAAATCGAACGATGAAATAACCAAACGCTCAATAAAAGTCTTTCGAAGGTAGCTCGACAAATTAAACAAAAGTTTTATTCTGACGACGAAGCCTGGAAAGGCTACGAAACGTCAATAAATAAATAAAGTTTCGTGCATTATCCCGTTTAAACTAGTTTTATTTAATGAGTGATGTGCGTGAAAACCTAAGAAACAAATAAATTAAAATGAATTTTAAATTTTTCGACATTGGACTTTATTAGTTTGCTAATGTTTGTTAAAAAGCAAGAGTAATTGCCTCGTACGCGCTTTCAGGATAGTGTTTTCAGATTAGCTTTGAAAGAGTTTTGTATTTACCGATTACTATATAAATAAATAAAATAAATATTTCCAACATTCACACCAATTAGCCTAGCCCCAACGTAAGCACTGTAGGCTTGTGTGATGTGTTAGTATCCATCCCAGGTAACGCGGATAGTATTCATATACTGATACATATATAACTATATTTATATAGAAAGACATAAATTAAATATCCATGACTGGAGTACAAATGCTCGTATTTATTACACAAACATCTACGCCCACTGGGATTCGAATCCGGGACCTGTCGAGTAGGCGACACCTTTAAACCCGGCGTACATATTACTTGGCCATAGAGGTCGTCAAACTAGCATAAAATGTAATCATTTAGTTATATTTTTTAAGCATTTTAGTTTAATCAAATTAAACATTTAGTTTAAAAAAAAACAATAAATTTGATGAGACAGTTGAGTTTGCGTTCGAATCGTAGCGCCCGTCTTGGGAAGTAATCTCCCCTTTACGGAAGATCATTTCTAATATTGACACTAACAAAAGTTGGTGGTGTGTCTCTAATGGTAATGGTCTGGTGACGGTAGTGTACTGAGTAGCCAGTGCTTATAAAGCCAGAGCAGACGACACGCAAGTAATACTCTATTCTAGCAAGCGGCCGATTACTAGGCCGATATAGGATGCTCTTTATCTCTGTATCACCATTTATTACCATATTCTACAAATAAAGATGATTTTGATTACTATCAGATAACCCATACCTATCGTTGTTACCACCCTTTTCACATAAATGGAAACAATAAACTTTCAAACATATCTGTCTTTATACCAATTTATGTCATTATCGTTAAGCGTGATTTTTTTAATTTGTGTTTATAAAAGGTAATCGTTACTGATTGACTCATATCAACGAACAACTCAACCCACTGAACGAATTGCGCTGAAATTTGGCACACGTATAGCTATTGTGATGTAGACATGTGCTTAGATAGGATTTTCCAAAACTAACCCCCTAACGGGTAAAACGGGGATCCAAAAGTTAGCCCACCGAAATCGCGGGCGGCCTCTAGTTAAACATAATGCTTGAGGTTTCAAAAGTATTCGAAAAGTTTTATATTAAAAGACATAATTTATTCTTTGTAAAGAGTACACATATTCAACAAATTTGTATGAAACCTTTTTAAAAAGTAAAATTCAATTAATCAAACAATTAATATCCTACTCTTTTTTAATGATTTTGTTATATTGTATTCATTCGAAATATCTAAATTTGGAGATGGAAACAATTAAATTACAGTCAAAAAAATGTAATAAGGAATTCATTTCTCTCTCTTTATCCACTCATGCAGGTAAGCACTATCTCACTAAAACCCAAGTAAGATAATGCCGCTTCAACCTTATAAATGAAAATATACAACAAAACTATTATTATATCCGCTTTATTAGTATTCTTACCATGTCCATTCCTATCGAATGCAATAAATTGATTTTACGATCGGGAAGTCCAATATTCAGCATTCGAATTTCCTCTCGAATGAACAAACATACAACATAAACATACAAGATACTGTGTACCAAAATTTATTACGACTCCTGTGCTTTTAGCCATTAACTTCAATTAACCGACTACGAAAAAAGGCAGCATTGTTCCATATAGACCGTACCACGGAAATACATTTTGTTAATTGGCTCTATGTAGGTTTAATTACTCGATGCGCTGCCGAAGCTCGCCATCCATTTTAATAGACGAATAAAAAAATGCTTGTACTTGTGTGTGTTACTCAAAAATAGTTATCAGCTATTAGTGTAAACAAACGAAAAGTGTGTGTTTTTAAACGTTAAAAAAGTATTTAATTATTTAGAAACTGCTTTAAAGAAAAAAAACATTTAGCAAAAAAGAGTACCTGAGCTTTCCAAACTAGCTTAATAACATTAATTGGCAGTATCGGTATTTTATGTTATTTTCATAATCGTTATGATTTCATTACTTAACCTCAATTTATAATAACCTATTAAAGTAAATGAAAAAAGAATCACTATAAAAAGTTATTAATAATTGAAAATAATCCAAAGATTGAACTTTCAAAGAAAATATAAAATTATAATTACCATTCGTTCCGTTCAGTCCAATAAGAAGTAAATGCACAAGCACAAGACACACAAATTGGTTCCTGCCTTTTATGGTGTTATTGCACTCATTAACACCAACATCCACCATACTGCCTCCGAATTGAGCTTTAATTCTCACAGCATCGACAGTAATTTACATGTTTACAACTAAGTTCACTAAACCACAAAAAGTTTTGAGGCACGTGTGCGACAATCTGTCCACTGTTAGTTAACACCCGATTGTCATTTGTTTGCTACATAGCACAACGCTTTTTTCGTTTGCAACTTTTTTCTTGTTTCATTTATTATTCAGGCATTCGAAGTTCGAATCCAAAAAGTTCGATAAACAAACGCGGCATCACGCCCGGGACCGGCCGTCACTCGGCGCACGACCAACCGGTTTGGAGCCTTACGCTGTACTATCGCACCTCCCTACTCCCTCATCTGTGTTTACTCTCGCCCAAACGAAAATGGGGGGATAAGAAGGCGCCTTGCCAGTCTTTGCTACATTGTAAACAGATGTACCCATGTACTTACTACCAAGTGTAAGATATGGTGATATATTTCAAAGACATACGAATGTGAGAGCTTTTGATAAGGAGACGTACGGTCAAGGCCTCATTAAATTCTCGGTGCTAGCACATTCGCAGATCCATTGTCGTCGGTGTTGTTATTATTGCTTGTTCATACTAAGTCATACATCATAAAAAAGAATTGTTGTTCTTTTGTGACAAATACAACTACATACTTACCTACAAGTCTAGTCGTATTGAGTGGCATTTATGTCTACATCAGAAAAACTAATTTTGAACTGAATTTATTTTTATAAATACAAGGCACAGCAAATTCGTCTTCAGTCTGATATTAAATATAAGAGCACTCTAGATACGAAGATGCTAATGTGTTTGAATAATAATATACATATATTAATGTAATATCTAGTAGCATTCACCGGGACAGTTTGGACCCCTGGAGCCTTACTCACCGACAGAAACATTAAACGACAAAAAGTATTGGTATTTTACTGTAATGTAGAGATCTCATCCCCAGACGGGCGCTCGAATTTTGAGCGGGAAATCCGCTATTTTCTATTTCTATAGAATCAATTATAGTAAACAAAGGCATTCACTTTCAATACATTCTTTTGAACGTAATAGAAAAATCATTCGAATAAATAACCCCCTAAAATCTATAATTATCAAAACATAATTACACAACCCGAAAGCTCACACACGAACACGTGTGCGCTTCATAACTACAAGCACCCAGCCCGGAATCAATAATAAGTTTTTTATCTAACCCCCTATAATCTGAGGCGAGGCAAAAAGGAAAGGAAACAAAATACGGCTTATTTCATTTGACGCATTTGTCGAGTTAGCGCGGGCGCACCGGGCGGGCGCCGACAAAAGCTTAGAGCCAGGGTGAACATTCTGTGAGATAACCGAGGATATATATTTTATTGACATATTATTAGGTAACTCTGACATTCTTAATTCTATAGAAAAATGTTATGAGTAATTAATCTATTTTTTGAAGTTATACTTCTTTAGGCGCGTTATGAAAAAATGATGAGTGAAATTTTAAGATGCGCGCGCATCACTGTAACACAAAATTTTAACAGCTCGAAGTTGGTCGCTTCATTCAACTTCATGCTGTTACTTTTGTGTTTACCGCACATTAAGAAAATCTACCAACAAAATAGAAATAGAATCTCTATTTAGTGGGTGCTAACGACTGCATTGTGAAGGTCTATCAAAAGTATTTATTAATCTGGATCAACGGAACCAAAGCGCGATTCAGGAGACTACAGCGCCATCTCTTGACCATTGGTGTAGTAGAACCAAAAACCACATCTTTATTTTTTGTAATAAAGTAACAGTTATATGTATTCATATTTATAATATCAAAAGTATTTATTAATCTGGAACAACGGAACTAAAGCGCGATTCAGGAGACTACAGCGCCATCTCTTGACCATTGGTGTAGTAGAACCAAAAACCACATCTTTATTTTTTGTAATAAAGTAACAGTTATAGGTATTCATATTTATAATATTTATCCACATGTTTCTAGTTTGTATATTCGGAAAACGTGTTTGAGTTTCATACAAGTGCAAATCACATATGTTCTAATAAATTATATTCAGTAGCGATTTTAATTGAATATTTGACTGTGTCCTTTTCCAGACTTTTTATTAATTTATTGTAATTAATTATATGCATGCAATTAAAAACTAATTTTAAACGATGCCACTGATACTGTGTTTTAAGCAAATAAAGATTATGATTATGATCTAGTTATTTTTACTCTTTGTTTTAATATTTCCACTCACACGAATTAGCCTAGCCCCAAAGTAAGCACTGAAGGCTTGCGTTATGGGATACTAGGGTAACGGATAGAATACATAAACTGTACATATATAAGTATATTTATATAGAAATACATATTAAACATCCATGACTGGAGTACAAATGCTCGTATTCATCACACAAACATCTGCCGCCACCGGGATTCGAACCCAGGATCTCACGAGTAGGACTTGTAACCCGACATACAAGTCACTCGGCCACGGAGGTGGTCTATTAATTGCAGCTATCGTTAATTTTAAGTATGAATGTAAAGTATTAAGTTTTGTGCTCATACATCTTAAGATTTTACTAAAATTTTCACTCGGCCCAGGCGTCAGGCTGCTGTCCCCTGGGTCAAATGGATATTTTTCTAGTAAAACTTTCTTTATGTTCCTATTTTGTTTTTTGTGTAAAAAGAACGATGAGAAATTATGTATCGGAATATTGCTTGCATGCAAAGCGGAGACGGGTCTACAATCACAAATATTATAATCAATGCTTATGGACGATTTTTGCACAATATTTCTTTAACAGTAGCACGATGGTAACCCTATTCGCATTTAAAAAACGTTCTAAATTCAAACCGGTCGCCCCTCTGCACGCGCTCCTGCGCATCCCTTCGCCCATTATTATCCTGAAGAGGTCATTCACAGTTCGCACAATACCGAACGTTCACGACTCAACTGCTAATAGGTTGGGACCCACCCCCCTTTTTTAAAAACTTTTGAAAGCTTTAGAAGTTTACAATTATTACTCTGTGAGTTGTTTTTCAACTTTGCCGGTGGCTAAGATTGAGAATGTAAACCTTTTTCAAAGCAGCTGTTTCATTGTTGCGCAACAATTTTACCGTCTATGTCTTACATTAATATTAACAACCCATACAATGGGCTATCATTGAAACACGCGATTGGTTGTGGAGCCTTGAAGAAATATAACGTAGTCAACATCGATTGTAGCCACTGTTACTATACATTTATTAGTTTTTTAACAGTCAAATGAATAACAGCTTCAACAAACGTTGTGGACAACTTGACGCTACTTACACTTCAAGTCTTTTTAATGCTTCCAACAAACAATATAGTAACACTGTACCGCGCGCAATCACGCCAGCTCACTGCTCAGCACCTAATGAGTTAATTCATTTTTTCAAAGCGTGTTGATGCATAGTGCAACTCTGGCACTGTCCTCAGTTTAACAGCCTGACAAGACGCATCAACGCAGTTAAACTTGCGCACTACTCTCAGACTACTAGAACTAACTACCTACTGCGCACTTTGCACTTGTAGATGCAGTTGTTTAAAGTGTTAAAGCATCACATTTGGTGGGCCAAGGCGAAATGAGTCAGCGCATCGTGCTGCACTTACTCAGTAGGCGCTAAGATTTTATTGAATTACCATATTTAGTTAGCTGCGGCTCCACCATAGTTTTGGTAACGCATAGTTGTAGACCACGTGTGTTCATATGACTTTCCTTTGCCTTCAATGAGAACAATCTTCTATACAGCTGTTGGTAGCCAACGAGCATTTGTACTTTTTTCAGTTATACGGATCCACGCAGAGCTTAGTTAGGCGTGCGCTGCCTGCACTGCAAACGTCGCAGTATCATTCAGGTTTTGACTTAGTATTTTGACTTTTTGTTATTTTTCTTAAAAAACCAATTTTAATTTAGTAGATTTTAAAAATCATTAATGTTAATTTTATAGTATTTTCATTTTACTTAGTGTTTTTACTGACAAAAGGATGGTCACAAGAAACTGAGGCCTACATAACCAATATAAAAATATCCCTATTTCAATTCAAAAGAGTGTCGGGTTCATTCTACACCATATAAATTTTCTTGTAGCTGCTAGGTAAGGCGAGCATGTTGTGAAAAGTCGACAAGACTTAGCTATTTGATTGCAAATTACTTTTATGTTATCTTAATTAATCTAAGTAAAATCAGTATAACGTTTAGATGTAAAAGAGAACTTACGTATCACAGAAACTGAATCGGTTTACGTAAGAAAATTTACAGTAAAAATTTACATTTTAAAAGGATATTTATACAAAACGCCAGGTAGATTAAAAGGAAAATTATTGCGCGTGTTTTGTATTGTAGGTTTGTAGAATAGATGTAGTATTAGAATCAAGTATATTGTTATATGTTTAACTAAATGTCATTTTCTTAAGTAAACTTCTATTTCAATATAAACAATTTTCTATTTCGGTCATGTATACCATGACCACTGTTCTGTCGCGAACAAAGAAGATCCTGCTACTGATTATTTTGTCACCCACCCGAATAAAACTATATTTATCTCTCGCAGTTTACGCATGTATCTATTTTTTCTTAGGCATTGAAATCCCCAAACTTGCTTGCTCAATAGTTCATGCTTAACAAGCAAGTTTAAATTGGAAAATATGATACAGATCGTGAGCTACGTAAGTCTTCAGTTCATACTATACATCTTTATTTGGTATTCAGCAAAAAGAAAAAGCTACGAGTTCGCAATTCTGGTTTCGGTAGATACAATAGATTTGACACAAAATTAATTAGCTCATTAAATTTTTTTACAGATGTATCGAAAACCAGATAATCATATAATCGCGAATCTTTTCCCAAATTTTCATTTAAAGACAAATTTTTATTTCAACATAAAACTGTTGGAGAATTGTCTCACAAATATTTATTTTATCACAAAAAAAAGAATCAGGAGAATGAAGCTTTAGGCTGGAACTTACTACTTAATTAACCGTATGTTCTAATTGACAAACAGGTTCTGTGAAATTACATTTCATTACATTACCGGACACTTAACGTTATATTAACTTGCAAATTGTTTGATTCGTCGCAGTCGATAAGTTGAAGAAATAATCGATAAGCAACGAGCTTTTTTTGCTTTAAGAACTATAAAAAATAAGTGCTGCAAATGAAATAAAAATGAGAGTATATTCTACTTACTTATACTTTTTTTTACTTTACAAGATGGCAAAGAGCTTATGACTTACTGATATAATAATGATAATAAAAAATAATAAATATTTCCAACACACACACCAATTTGTTTAGCCCCAAAGTAAGAACTGTAAGGCTTGTGTTATGGGATACTAAGGTAACGGATAGAATTCATAT